GGAGGAAGAGGAAGGAGGAGGGGGGGAGGAAGAGGAAGGAGGAGGGGGGAAGGAGAGGGAAGGAGAAGGTGGAAGAGGATGATGCACGAACGAGCGAAGCATACGTCGAAATCACAGTGTAAGACGAGTTACATGTACAGGGTGTCGATGCTGGCGAGCCGGAATGTAACAAGTCCATCCACGAGCTAATGTTAACGGAGCATGGCCACGAGAAAGCAATCGGCGGACAAGCATGGTTTGCCGCAGCTCTGAAATCACGCCAATTGTCACAGATCTGCTCAAACTGCGTAAGCTGACCGGTGAACACACCTGCAGGCTGATGAGATGGAATGTTCGACGTTGCACAAGGATATCGTATAACAGGAGAATCCCATGCAACAGTCTTATCAAACACACTCAATCGGAGAGATCCGTCTGCTCGTGTCTGCAGTTTCGCACCAAAAAAGGTGCACGAGCCATCGGCCGCAGTGGTCTCTTTCCATTCAAGACCATAATAGGCTGGCGATGGTGGCAGACAATCAAAGGTAAGAACATCATCAATGAACCGATAAGTGAAAACATATCGGTGGGCTGCAGAGGGATCCACACGTTGTAGGTTGTCCACGTACTTCGCCTCATCCCAATGGAGTGTGAGGTTAGCAATCTCAGGACCAGCGTTTGTACCTATTGGGATACCAACTACTTGGTGTATAACTACTTCAAGTTGGTGTATAACTACTTGGTGTATATATATTGTCACTCTTTGAACCGGCGCGCAAAAGTGAAAACAAGAAGAAAGGAAGAGAAAAGAGAAAGGAAAAGAAGAGGCAAGGAAAGCTCCGCCTGTTCATAACCTCTTACGTACAAGGCCAGCCACGTGGATGACATGTTGAGCGCTGGCTGCCCCCATCCCCGTGTGTCACAAAGACCCACTTGCACGCAGCCAAAAGGCAAAGAGGTAAAGAAAAGGTGGAGGAAACCAAACCTCACAGAAGAAGAAAGCCTATTAAACAGACAAAGCAAGTGACACATCCCACAGATAATCCAATTACCATCCCACATAACATATTTTTCTTTTTTCTTTTTTCTTTTTTTTCAGGTTTTTTTTTTTGTCTTTTTCCTTTTTTTTTTTAAATTAATTTATTTATTTAATTATCTTTTTACTTGGTTTCTTTTTTTATCTGTTTCTTCTAAACTTTATTTGTCACCCCCTCGACAGATGGGACAACTTCGGTGAGGATGACAGGGATGTTCACAGGGATGCCCAAGGAGGGTTGCGCTAGTACAGCATTCAGCCGGACGGCTAGCACGAACCATCCCATCGAATCAATCCTAACAGAGGACATGTTGCCCACATGTCAAGAAGACAGCGGGACATTCATCACAGTGCGGCAT